CTTACCCTTCAAAACTGGATCGCATTGGCTGCAGAAATAGGCAAGTGGCAGTACGTTTTAGTGCTACTTAAAGCATCCATCTTCTTTAAAGCACAAAGAATCAAACAGTTTCAAAATTACATGCGTTGAGAACTATGAACAGTCTTCATTTAACTAATATACTTCAGAAAGTGAAAGTATCTTTTCCGGATTAAAATTCGCGTTAAAGATTTTTGTTGTTATAATTTTTTTCTTAACTTCAGCCATTCTCTAGACCAAAGACCAACGTCTAAAGTTAATATACCAGAAACGCTTTATCTGCATTACGGTATTTATCATTGTAGTACAGTACGACTACACAAAACGATGGCCGAGTCTGAAATACAAACTAATTTTTTGTTATTCGTTTGATCGTTAGCGGCGTTGTTTCAAGGGTTGCCTTGAAGTTGAAGTTTGAAGGGAACTTTGACAAGCAAATTTGATCACTTACATTGATCATTTCACCTTAGTTGCCACGAACTGTTTACACTTCTGAACCTAATCAGTATTTAGTCTAAAATACGTAAATTACACTTTACACATAATCACTGAGAACAAACAAAGAATTATAACAGCGCGATTTAGCAGATTTTAGCGCATTATAACAACGAAAACAAATAAATAATGTCCAACCCCATCTAGCGGTAGACCTTAAATCATTTCTAAATAGTGTTGGGTCATGGAAAAATTTCAGAAAAATATTTATTTATATATTTTTCTAAATTATTCCACATTCGACAGTAACACCTGTCAAAAGTTAAAGATATATTAATGAAAATTTGTGAAACACGGCAAGCAAGATTTAGAAACTAAATTTAGCAATGTTTACACAATTTTATTTTATTATTCATGCCAAATAAAACTTTAAAAGATACTTCTAACCGTAAAACATAATATGAGTCTTCGAATCATCTTTTAGAAATATTTCTGTACACTATTTCTAAACGACATTCCATATTCAAACAGTGTACAGTCAAGAGCCCATTAACTTTGATTACAATAAGAAGAAGTACATAGTACTTTCGATCGTTGTTTTCTTAAGCGACATAAAGCTTTTAAAAAGCTAACTCATAAAAATAACTCCTAATTTTTAAAATAATTATTAAAATTTAGTAAAGTTAGTTCTGTAACATTACCAGTGTATCTAGGTCATGCGAGTACTGAACAGTTAACTCAACACCAGGTCGGATTAACATGCGATTTGACGTGGGCAGACTGTGCCTATCACGCTAATTGTCTTAACATTGCAATATTCTATTCTTTATATGCGATAACTTTTTGAATCAGGCAGTTGCACCAATTACCTTGTCTCAAACTAGAAAATTCCCTGTAGAACACTTAGATCAGAAATATTTTCAGTCTTTCAAAACTTTACTCAAAGCTGTTATAGGTACCTACTCCTATATATTATCTTATATAGTAAGTAGGCTTATAAGGCTAGTAGGTTTTTCTTTGTATTTCATGTCAAATAAACCATTTTAAGTATTTTAGATAATTTTAATTTGTTCTTTTCACGTATTCTTACCTGTTTTAAATTTTGTGTGTTGTTATTATTATTGTACTTTATATAATCCTACTTCAATGTATGAAATTATATGTATTAGTTTTAAGATTTTTATTTAATTTTTAAATTTATTAATATCTAATTTTTTTTTTGTTTATTTGTTGCGTCCTCAATTATTTTATCTTACAGTTTTTCCTGTAGCCCGAGAGTTGCCTGGAAGAAAAAGTTATTTAGCAATAAGGCCGCCTGTTGTACATGTGTGCAATAAAGAATATTTGTATTGTATTTGTATTTGTAATACAAAAAGGTTCCATTCCCAAACCTGAGGTATCGACAATGCAAAATATTGGGCCATAGAGGTCTTCAATTTGTATAAGGCTTAATTTTAAGTGCAGTACAACTTATTTCTCCACGAACGTCATCACGATTGGGATGCACAAAAGGAACCTCCCCACACAACATCATATCACGTCATTCCTTTCCTATAGGTCTTGGGCAACAATCGTCGCGTACCTTATGCCGATGCCGTTGGCAAATTCTTTCACCATGATGGCAAGTATTATAGTATATGCCATCGACACGATGAGAAGAACAAGGAGACCTCATCGTCACTTACCATCAGATGTAACAGAAGTCAAATTAGCACCTGTTTTAGCTATAAAATAAACTTTAACTACCCGAAAACTGTGAAAAAATTTACTTTATCATCGACAGCCCAACTTCATCCTCTGCTGAATAATACCCTTCAATTGTTAGAGGACGTCTCACGTTTCTGGAATCATAAGTGAATGACAAAGAATCATTTATTCCATAGGTAAAATAAATTACACTTGAAACGTCATATTTAAGCTACTGCCCGTAAATCAGTGCCCTTCATCTGTACAATTGACTGTCTGGGAAACCCAAGGGCCAAGCTTCCTTGCCCAACACATTAGCGTAGCTATACAAAGGGGGAACGCTGCCAACATCTTGTGCACCTTGCTACAGGGACCCAATTTTATTTAACTATATAATTTAAAAATCCCATTTTTACTTTCTAGTATTTGAGCTTATATTGTCTTTTTTTCCATACCTATATATTATCAAAATAAAAATAATTACTCGAGCTGCTGCACGTTCACTGTGCTGACTTACCTGAGACGAACGAGCAATAAACTCTAGGGAGTTTTTTGTTTTCTTTTTAGTTAGTTCTTGCTGTTTTCAAATAAACTTAAATGCTGTAGAATACACATTCAATCTTTGTGTGGAATCCAGACCCATGTTGTGTTTCCATACATCTTTATCTAACGTGTAGTTTTCAATTTTGTAATATGACTTCAATTTAAATAGAAATAGAAACCATTTATTTCATTATTTCATTTCAACACCACAATATAAAAAGGCACAAAATAAGAGTAATATAAAAAACTGAAATAACACAAAAAACAGCGTAACAACATTTAATCAACAAATTACACAATACCATACTGATATGTGTGCGACTGTAGCGTATGCAAAAGAATCCCATTCAGCTAAAGTCACAACCAATACTGGGCAGTGACGCTGGTTTTCAATGGGCCCTAGCAGAGTGACAGACGTATGCCAATCGGTAAATACAAGTTTTAAACTTACCAAATGATCTTGGCCACCACTAGCTTTGGTATACTAAGTATATGCTGCTTTAAGTGCTGCTAAAAATTGTATTTACCGATTGACATACGTCTGTCACTGTGCTAGGGCCCATATTTGGTTCTTTTAATTCGGCTTTTTAAGGACACCCTATTGAGATATACACCGAGGTCACCGCTCCCAGTGCTTCCATCCACATTCGCTCTATTTTGTGCCGTCAATCTACCAATTCAGCTTTAAATTTACCGACAATTATCCATCTCCTAAATCTAAAAGGAAAATGTACTTGCACGTCATAACATAAATATAAATGTTCGCTACCAAGTTAAAAATAAAAACTGGTCATTAATAATAAGAAAATATAAACCTAACGCGGAAGTTACAGTTAACTAAGTATGCCTTTAACTTCATAGTTTACAACTCACCGCGGTTACTGCCATGTTAACTAGTCAGTTAAATAAGGAGTTTACAGGTTTAGTTTACGCGTCGCCTCTCTAAAAATAGCTTAGTTTCATAAAGTGAACTTGCCAATATTTATTCAGAAATTGATGAAAGAGCTGCGCTACTATGATTCTGTGAAAGTAAACTAAAATCATTGTGGAGGTCTTTAGTATTAATAACAATTTTCGCGTCCTATCACTATATATCTTTAGAAACAATTAAACTTATGGGCAGGCTGAAAAAATAAGTCAGTCAGAGCACTATGGGTATTTAGTGGCAAAAATGGGGTACAGAGATATTCGCGGAAACTACGACGTAAGCGAGTATATAACCAGAAATAGAGACGAAATGTCAATAATTTTGTTTGAAAACTATTCTGGCATATCATTACTCTGACAACTGCGCTCCGGTTGGCCAGCCCGAATTCGAAACAATTGACGGGTGTCGTCAACTGTTTCACTTCAAATTGACCAGTTAACTTGAGCTTTGCTATAATGGACGAAAATGGCAAAATTACATGTTTAAAATTCAATTACTGATGAAATTTGATTCCGTTTGTTTTATAATTAGATGGTTTGCTGTTTTTCCCCTCACCACCGAATGAAACAGCACGTCATTGTTAGAGATGTTATCTTTATTACAATAAATACAGAATATTTTTGGAATATACGGAGACATACACACAGGTTAGTTGTTGGCGCTTTCTATATTTCAGTACAAACGAGATTTGATGTTTTTAAGTCATGTATCACTGATGGGTTACCAGGGATGTATGGCCCCTATTTCGTCTCTATTTCTGGCTATATACTCGATGGACGTAAGTATTTACTTGCTGCATGCACGCACGCATCTTACGTCACGTATGTTAAGTGTACTTGTATTATTTTAAAGTTTTTGTTTTTTTTCTTTATATTGAATGCAATAAAGAGAGATTTTATTTTATGATAATAAAAAAATAAAAGAATAATTATATTTTTTATTTTTTTTTAAAAACGACAGTACAGGGCCGGTTTCGTGGCTGACTACACGTACATCCAAAGATTTTATTGATTAGCGCTTTACATCAAACGTCAAACCATTCTGTCAAATCCTATATTTGTGACAATATCCTTTTGCAATTCCACTGTAAACGTGTAAACCTTGGGCCAGCGTGGCGGACAATGGCCTTTATGGTCTCTCCTTAGAAAAACCATAATACTTCAGAAACTTTTGCAGGTGTGGGCAAAACAACTCACGAAATCTTTATCTCAATCAGATGAATAGTTAGTTTGTTAGTTGCAGTGAATTCTGCAAAATTTTTTGTTACAACTTTATTGTTAAATGAAATGTTACTATAAAATAATAATATATAAACAAAAAAAAATAATATATAAAGTCTAATTTCTAATACAATTAGATGCCCATTTGTGATTGATGGTTCTTGTTACAGACGGTATCCGCGGACGGACAGCCGCAATCGGACATGCAGCGACACAGCTACTGGTGGCACTTGCTCATTGACCTGCCCATATTGCTCTTAGGTAAGTTTATGTCTTTACTTTGCAGGGTTCTTTGCCTATTGCAGAACTGGCTATGTAACAATTTCTGCCACAATGCGTCCTATGTTTCGTTTTCTAACAGACTTCTAAAAAGAAGGAGGTTCTCAATTTCTCTGTGTTTTTTGTATGTAAACTTGATGGAATTTTGGTTCCCTACCAAAATGAAGCAATCTTACTTGTATTTTTTCTTTTTCACAGTTCTACCCATTTGCGAGCGTAAAATTTTACAATTGAATATTTTTTTTCCCATCACAAAATCACAGATCGAAATTTAAAATTTGAGCTTCGTCACGACACATGGTCACGACCTGTAGTATTGTATTTTTTATGCTAGTTTAAAATTTCGAACGGCAGAATAATTGTGCTATGAGGGAATGACGTTTAATATTATTAATAATTACTTAAAGCTTTTTTATTTAAAAAAAACCGTTTTATTTTTATTGGAAATTCGAATTCGAATTCGAAATCGGTTAACGGAAAGTGGGTGTAATCCAATGGACCAGATTCATCCCCTAATTTGCCATCCTTAGTAGTGGAATATTTTTTTTTAAATTTTAATGAGACCACTACTACCTTTTCAAGAAAAAAAAATCATTAAAATCGGTTTACAAATATCGGAGTAATCACGTAACATGCACACAAAAAAGCAGTCGAATTTAGAACCCCGTTTTTTAAATTAAATTAAAAAAATTGTAAAACTTTTTGCTCTCTTTTCTCTAAAATTATTGACATTTTGCAAAATAGAACATGTCAAAATCTGTCATATTACATAATATATACATAGTACATAATAACGATGAATTCATTGAAGAACCAGCACAATTACAGAATGACAGCCGTCATTGCATTTGCTATGGGCACGTCCTTAGCATCGTAAACGTTCACTGGCGGCGGTACTTTCCATCAGGGAAACCGTATGACTGTTCGCCGTTGCCATAAAGAGAAATACTTTATTTACGGATAACTTAGTACACTATAAACTTGGCACAAACACCCCAATCACAATTACTCTTACAATCGCAGTTAGTATGTACAATCAACAGCACGCTGGGCTTTATACTTTGAACTGTCTTATCGCAACGGACATAGAGTTAAGATGTGCATACATGATGTCAACAACAAAATAATCTGTTTCTTAGTTACAAAATGCCACAGTAAAGCCGAAAAAACATGGCGGATATCGATAACAAACTAAAAGACTGAAAACTTGAAATCAATACCGTTACCAAACGAAAAAGTTTTTTAATGCAAAATAACTTTAACGACCAAAAAAACTTCCTGGACGAACTCTTCCTCGAACGAGTAATTTTGAAATTTCGTTATCGACCCAATTTCCATATTTCAATATATCCATACGAAACAATTACCATTATTAATAATAAAAGGGAAGTAATACATCAACTTGTATAAATATTGTAATAAATCAGTCACTAACACTAGTTAGTTTACCCTAGGGTGAATTTACCAATCCGCGCCAGGAACACGTTTCAGAACGGATGTTTCGCCATTAAAAAGAAACATAAGGTGCTAATTCCATTATAATGTTTAGTGACCCCATTAAAAGGCTCAAAATAAGAATGCCTGGATCGCCATATACGGTTGTCCTAGATAAAAATTGTAATTTAAGTAACATTTTTGAATCTTCACAATAATAATAATTTGTTAGTCGACGTTGTTTGTAAAAATGACATTTTTGGGGTTAAAGCAAACCAATGGTACTCATTTTTATTTATGATGCCTAGCATTGACTTACAATTATATTGACGTCGGGTCCGCGCAAAAAAGTGTCCGAACTTATAGGGCGTTAAAATCGTATACAGAGCGTCATTCACGCTTTAGTCTTCGTTTGTTCGACTGACAGCGAAGCAAGCCAAATTAGACAGTACTGAGATGACATTACAATTTAAATTCAACGTTTTAGCTTTTTCATATTCCTTTACATGTCACTACGTTTAAATGGTTGACTTGGGACATTTTTTTCGTGGTTTTTGTATTAGACCCGTCGTCCATTTATTTGTAAGTCAATGATGCCTAGTAATGGAACGAAAAAGTCTTGTCCTTAACACTTGCAGTGCCACTCCTTACTTTAAATGACAAATATCTGAGGTGCAGTGCCACTGTACCCATCACCCTGAGACGTAAGTTGAAGTCCCAGGCATGCAATTTCACCTCAATCAATGCTCACATTTCTGCTTGGTGGCAGAAATACGTAAAATGGCAGTACTTCCCTGGACGAAATATCAAAGTGTCTGTCAAAGTACAAGGAATAAGTGTATCAGGTATGAGACCTAAATGTAAATGAAACTATAAATATTTATTATTGATATTGCTTAAAATTCTATTTAATTTCATTGTTAATTATTCGTAATGTTATTTTAATGTTATAATAATAACAATAATAATAATATTTATTCATGAAAAATTACATTTGGTGGTACATAGCGTAGGTACAATTTTCATTACAATTAAGCGATTCCCTGGCTCCTAAACTAAGAAAACTTGTGTCTTAGGAGTCAGTGATCTGTCGTGAATATAACATTTTTAGATACCTAATCATATTGAGCTATGAATAAAATAAACAAACATAAAATTTGTAAAAATTTAAAAAACATGCAACAGGTTGTAATGAAAGTGTGTGAAAGCGTGTGTGTGTGTGTGTGTGTGCATTTGTCTATATGTGTGAAGAAATATGAAAGACAGTACAGTGCAATAACTTTTCCAATTAAGCCAACCATACATTTGTAGATAAAGATGAAATTAAATTAGTCGTCCAGTCAATAATTCTTCCTTGTCTACATAATTGAGGGTCTGGAGCCATATTAGTACGAGTAGCTTGGTTTTATTAAGAGGATGTAAGCCCAGGAGCCCGTCCAAACGATTGTACAAGGTTGAGCTCCTGTGAGGTACTGAGGTACATATATTTCGTAACGATCGTTTCTTTGGATCTCGCCTGTGCGGAACCTCGCAGTGTTTACATAATGTGGTGTGAAGAATATATACTTATGTAACACAGAGTACCTTAGATAATTTGTACAAATCGTTGGTCGGAAACCTAAAGTGTTTATGATACATTATCTTAAGTACAGCTCGTTGGGCTCGCTCCAAGGGTAGAAGACGCGTTTTTGCAGCTCCTCCCACACCCGCATGCAATGTGTTAGTATCGATTGACAAAGCGCAAGATACACCATTCGTAGAGTTCCTGGACCCGCTGAGTTTCGTAATGTTTTGAATGTTGTTAGCAAAGTAAGGACATAATGCACTCAGAATGCCCTACGGGGTAGCACCATTAGCATAAAACACCTATTATAATATATAACTTCTTTTTGACTCTCATGTTAATGCCACAATTACTAGAGCCAATAGGGCACTAGGATTCGTGATGCGTAGCTCAGTTGACTTTCATGACGCAAAAACTGTAAAGATATTATATTGTTCCCTTGTGCGTAGTATTTTGGAGTACGCCTCTCAGGTCTGGAACCCAAGATATAATACATATATTTCGCGTATTGAAAGAATTCAGCAAAAATTTATTCGTTATTTATGTTTTAAAACTAATCAGCCATATCACTCTTCGAACTATTTAGACACTTGCAGAAAACACCATTTACTTCCCCTTGAATTAAGACGTGAAATAGCAGATATAAACTATCTTATTAAAATTACCACCAACATAATTGATTGCCCCGAGCTTCTATCTGAAATTTACTTAAAGGTCCCGACTAAACATTTACGCAATGAATTAATTATTTATTTGCCTGTAGCTTTACAAAATTACAAACGCAATTCGTTTATATGGCGTGCGAGCAAGAAACATTTAACTAATTCATTTTTATGAATACAGTGAGTTGGCGGGTTTGAGTGGTGATACATTATTTGTATAGTGTGAAGAGTATGTGTGTGTGTGTTATGTTATATTTATATTGTTAATGTTATATTGTATTACTGTTACCAATGCATCAAATATTATTGTATTTTTATCAGTATGGAACTGTTTTGCTTCAAATTATTTAATTAAGTCTCTATTTTATTGTAATATAAGCTGTTTGTGCCCTCCAAAATATAAATAAATAAAAAATAAATAAATAAATAAATAACCCTGTAACTTGCAAATAAAGAATATGAAGCTATATAATCTTATTAACAGTTTAGTGGCACTAGAGCTCCTTGTGAAAGAGTTCGTCCTGCGAAGTCCTGCCACCTTATCTATTAATGCGGCCAAGCAGTAATGTCAGCATTAATGTGTTCCGGTTTTGAAGGGTAAGGGTGCTAGTGAAATTACAGTCACATGGGACTTGTCAACTTATGTCTCAGGGTGATGGACGCAAAAGTAGTGCTCAGATCTTTGCGATATAAAGAGCTGAGTGGCACTACAACTGTTATGGACAGGCGTGTAGCTTACGTCCTGCCACCTTATCTATTAATGCCGCCAAGCAGTAATGTCAGCATTAATGTGTTCCGGTTTTGAAGGGTACGGGTGCTGGTGACATTACAGGCACATGGGACTTGTCAACTTATGTCTCAGGGTGATGAACGCAGAAGTAGTGCCTCTCAGATCTTTGCGATATAAAGAGCTGAGTGGCACTACAACTGTTATGGACAGGCGTGTAGCTTACGTTCAGGCGCACGACTTATTCGTCCAGTCACTTGATATTTAAAAAAAAAATTGGCAAAGATAAATAAAAGGTAGATATTATTAACTACCTACTTTAACATTTTAATAACAAGTGCGGTACTCGGAGCCAAAGAACCTGTACAATGCGCACCCCCTGAAATCGAGAAAAAACACAGCGTGACCTAAATTAGGCCTGCGTCGGTATTTGTATTTACTCGGGATGATTGATTTCATACAATGCAGGGTCGTTTAAAACAATGAAACTTTATTAATCAGCCAGCAACTTTTTCTATGGTCAAGTTTCAGAAATTTTTGGGGCAAGTCCTATTTTTATACCAATTGTAATTGAAAGAATTGATATAAAAAAAAT